GGAGTTGGGGAGGCAGGGTGCTTTAGGGAGGCTCGCCTTGCACCTCTGTCCCGAGCTGGGCTGTGAGGAGCGAATAAGATGGCGTGTGACACGGTCTGCCGCTGACCGGACTCACTTGCTGTGCTGCTGTTGGGGGGCCACTTCCCCTCTCTGAGCCTCCGTGTCTTCACTGCCCTAGTGATGGCTCTGCCACACACGTCGCTCTACATGGGACAGGACGACAGGGCCTGAACCCGGGTGGAGACCTGGGAATGAGCAGCGGGCAGATTCGATCGCCTGTCCGGGGGGTCGGGGTGGGAGTCAGCGGGAACGTCCAGGCTCAGGGCAGGAGGCCTCGTTCACAAGGTGACACCTGGCAGGCCCTGCAGCGGGAGGGTGGGACAGAGATGACTCACATGTTGGCTACTTCGAGTTTGGGGTGCCCACGGATCACCGGGTCAGCACGGGGGTCCTCCCGGGTGTCACTGGGACCCCGGCGGTGGCTTCTCTCTGCTGGCCTCCGGCTCCCCCACCCGCATCCCTCCGGGGTGTGCTGGGTGGCATGGCGTTAGAATTGCTGAGGAGGGCCGTTTCCAAAGGCCTGCTCTGCCAGCACAGCCCCGCGGGGCCCTGCCTGTTAGCGGGCGGAGCAGGCTTGGCCCCCATTTGCCATGCTCTGATGAGCAGAGGCTCAAAGGTGGGAAAGTCATAAATTAGTATTAGCTACTGTGTCGCTGGCTCCCTGGTGATTAGCATTTTTATTGTTTTGCGGTGCTGAGGTTGGTCACACTCGGAGCCCAGGGAGGAGGCGCCCAGGGAGGAGGCGGGGGCCTACGCTTCCTCTCCCAGGATCCTCCTCAGTTTGGCCCCTGGAGCCCCATGCAGATAGTGACAGTGTCTGTCCCCCACCGGCACCTAGTGTGCCCGGCACTGTCCTAACACTGGACTCATTGCAGTGAACAGCCCCGCCGTGGGATTGTTCCCTCCAGTTCCCAGGTGAGGCACAGGAGTTGAGGCTCAGAGAGGTTAAGTAATGAGCGGAAGGTCACACAGCCATGGTGTCTGAGTCAGAGCTTGAACCCAGTACTTCCTCCCCACTCCCTGGTCTTCTCTGCACCATCTTGCCACCAGGCTCCCCTTGCTGCCTCCCCATAGGCCTGGGTGCTGCCCATTTCCAGCTGCCACCACCTACTGGGTCCCCCACCACCTCTGCTGGGACCCCTGCTCGCCTCCTGGGCTGTTGACCCTGGCGTTCCTCACTTGACTTTTCGGCCGCTTCTGGTGGGACCTGTGCCCCACCCCCCACGACCTTCACCCTCAGATACCCGAGCTGGCTCCCTAATCCCCACCCTGTCCTCTGATTTCAGCACCTTTAAAAACCTGTGGAAGCAGGTAGCCCAGAACCTGGATCGCTATCGCACCTTCCCACGCCTGGCTGGAGGTAAGGGCCCCTCTCCCTGCCCCCTCCCTGGTGGCTCCAGGGACCCCTTCCTTTCCTGGCCATCATGAAAGAGGAGGAGAGGATGCAGCCATAGGTAGGGTCGTGCTGCAGGAACTGAGCCCTGGGGGGCCTTAGGTACAGAACCTTGCTTTGGCAGGCACTGGGGGTGTGCAGAGCACCTGTGCCTCAGGATGCATTTTTCTTTCATTCATTCATTCATTTATGCCTCATTCATTCAGCAATTTAAGTACCATGAGTAGGGAAGGAGCCCTGGCATTGACATGGGTGGACCCCCCTCCTCTTGCTGGGTTGGGGGGTTAGGGAAAAGCTGTGCCACTTCTGGGGGCCTAGGATTCTGCTATTTCCTCTGTCATTGTATTGGGCAGCACCCTGGCCCTGGCCTCAGTTATTTCATCTGTATAATGGGGGAGTTGTTCCTGATGACCCCTGATGCCCTTCACCCTTGGGCATCAGTTTTTTCATCTGTAGAGTGGGAGAATAGGCCTGGCTCATTGGTTTCTGGGATGCTGTCCAGCTCTCACTCTGTGCCTCCCCTGCTCTCATCCGCCTGGTATGGGGGGGCTGATCACAGGGCCCCGTGGACAGGTGTAGGCAGTGTGGTGGGCCCCTGAGCTGGCCGGAGGAGCCTGCTCCTTCATTTGTTCCCCACCCCGGCCCCTGTAGAGTGCGGTGGGAAGAACTTCCACTTTGTGCACCGCTCCGCGGACGTGGACAGCGTGGTGAGCGGGACCCTGCGCTCGGCCTTCGAGTACAGTGGCCAGAAGTGCTCAGCCTGCTCCCGCCTCTACGTGCCTCACTCGCTGTGGCCTCAGATCAAAAAGCGGCTGCTGGAGGAGCACGGCAGGATCAAAGTGGGCGACGTGAGTGCTGCCT